GCAGTCTCAAGCAGTTTACTACCAGAATATTCTGATTTAGTTTAAAACAATCCCAAGTTCATTAGTGTGCTCTTCAAGAGCAGCTCCATTTCACCTCCCAGTGTGCTGCCCTGATTCTCGCTAACCATCCCCAGCTGCACAGCACCCCAGTACCTGTGACCCTCTTCAGCATGGTCCTGGACAATCTTAATTTACTTCACATTTTCTTCCCAAGTGTACAATTCACACTACACTTGGGGAGAAAATGTGAAGTAAATTAAGATCTACCTCAGAGCAAGGAGAGGAAAAGATTTTTGTCCAAGTGGAAAGTGAAATTCCATGCCATCATTTATAATTTATGAATATAGATAAGTGGTTTCATATATTATTACAATGTAATTGGGGTTTGCTTAATTTCTAAGAAATTCCACCAGTACAATGAGATGAATGCATCTATATTTTTATTGCAGTAGGGCTGATTTTTATTAATCAGCATGGAATATCCTGGGAGGTATCCAGGTTCTTGTTTTGTTCTTCTTTTCCTCATTGATTTTTTCTTTTGGAATATCTTGGTTTAGTAGTTTTTCAAAAAAGTAGGTAGGATAAGGGGGAAAAGCAAAATTTAAAGCCCAGGAAGGCAATAAAACCCCTTGAATTGGTTACATAATTAGACTTATTCAAACTATTCTTCTTACTAAAAAAGGTTTCTCAAACTTGGTCTCATACATGAATCACGCAGGAGCCTTTAAAAGTCCTGATGTACAGAGGCCTGCACAGGCAATTACGTCAGAATTCAGCTGAGGATGCTGTGATCCTAGTGTTCTGGGAGACCGAGGCAACAAGACTATGATTTCAAACCCAGCCTGGACAGTTTAGCGACATAATGAGACTGTGTCTCAAAAAAAAATGCTGGGAATATAGTTCAGTGTGAAGGCCCTAGGTTCAATTCCTAGTATTACCAAAACAAAACAAAACAACCAAATAGAAACAAAATCAGGAGAATCTCTATGGACAAGTCCTGGGGATAAGACCTTGTGCTAGAAACTCTATTAGATGGACTCCTTTGTGCCTCACTTTTTTCATCAGTAAATTTAAGAAAATAATTTGAGGTCAAAATAGATTCATATAGTTACAGTGCCCTAGAGCATCAGGGGAACGGCATGGGTTGTGGTGGGTCAACATTTTAAAAATAAAAATACAATGACAGTAATATGTTTAAAATATGACAATGATAATTTGGTACTAATTACAAATAAACTTTGTTTAGGCAATGTCTATTTATTGTGTGAATTCATTACCAGCTACATTTTCTATCCACAAAACTTCTGTTTGGAGGAAGTGACTCAACCCTTACCCCAATTCCTAGAATGGTCAAGATATATTATTGCCTGTTCCATTCCTCTATGTGCCCAAGCCCCATGGTTTTCCACTAGATAGCCAGTAAGGCAGATAAACTGAGCGTGCCTTTGTGCCTCTGGCTCATTGTTACCATCCATGACAGACCTGGCTCGTGATCCTTGCAAGGACAAGGACACTGAGGAGCAGGATGGGGTCTGTATCCAGAATGCATTAAAAATAAATGAGAGCTTAGAAGAAGCCCCTGGAATGAGGTTGAAATAAGTGACTTGTGCTGACTCGATTTTTCAATTCTATCGCCTCAGGCTCTGTTTTCTGTTTCACAAGAGGCCACCTTTTCAATTTCTAGTGTGCCAGGTGGAAAGGTCATGGTATGAGCGATAGAGAAAATTAGAACTAATGAGTGCACAGGAAAAGCTTTCTGCTGACTTCCTCAGGGTTCACATAATTATTATTACTTTTCTGTCCCTTAGGGAGCCTCCTTTTGTGGAGCTCAGATATAATTTGATTGTCAAATGCAAAATGTCTTATTAAATGGGTATCCTTTTAAATAACTAATTTATTTATTTGGATGGCTTCGTCTTTTGTGTTTTGCACTTGGAGACCTCAACAGATACTTTTTTTATTTTTTGTTATGAGACAAAGAAAATAAGCACTTTTCTGATTTAGCTGCTAAATAAAAATAATTTCAAAGGTGAAGTACTCAGTTTCTACACCAAGTTTTTGTTTTTATCTTCAGACAAGATCTTGTTAAGTTACTAAATTTTCCAGGCTGGGCTGCTCGAACTTGGGATTCCCCTGCCTCAGACTTCTAGAGTGCTGGGATTATAGGTACATGTCACCACACCCAACTACTCCAAGTGTTTTTTTGAGACAGGATCTCACTATGTAACTCAGTCATACTCAGTAGCCTGAGCACTGGGAGTACAGGTATATACCACCATGTCTGGCTGGGGTTTTGCTAAAACCAATGTAGACTCCCTCCTCAGAATGTAAAAATCTGTTTGAATTATATAAAGATATTTTGTTTTCAGTTTTAAATCATCTAGGTGATTAAATAAATGTTATCCTTGCTTTTAGAAAATAGTTTTAGAGAATCTAAGAGAAAAACTAACATGACAATAGAAATTCAGGTTCCAGAGGAGCCACGGGAACTGCTAGCAATGTGGGGCCATGTGTAAAAATGTGCACAAAGTAAACAGAGGAGGCAGGAAGTTACTGCTGACATGCATATGCCCTAGTTGGGAAAATGAACAATTTTAGTTTTTCAAAGATAAAAATTTCAATTTTTTCTCTACCTCAGTTGGGTTGGGCTATTATTGATAGAGCAGACCCCTAATGTTTAGATACATTTGGTCCCATGCACAAAGTTATCATCTAGCAGATATCTGTGTCTGGCTGGAGCCGACCCTGCCGGACACCTCCTTCCCAGACTTCACAGCACTGAGCTCTGGCTCCTCCACAGAACCCTCCCCACAGAGGCCAGCTGGAGCCCTGCTCACTGCCCCTAACTCTCTGCTTCTCTCACACACTACTGTTATAGGGTAGGTCTAACAAGCAGTGAAAATAAGACTTATTTGGAAATCCAAAATGGCTATTTATTGACTTATGAATCTCTTTCCTCTATAGCTTGTTATGAGCTTTAGAAGGCCACATTTTGAATTCAGATTTCCCAGTTTGTTCTGTATGCTCACCCTGTCTCAGTCTTTCTAATTCTGACATGCAACATGACAATTTGTGGACCAAATGCATTTAGAAGGCCTGCAGGTGGCTTATGGCTCTCCCCTTCTGTACATCTAATGGAGAAGCACTGAGATCTAGGTAAGCTGGTTTGAATGGCTGCTAACTTTTGCTAATAATGGTTACAACAATGTGATGTTGATGTCCACATTGTATCCTTTTGTTACCTTCATGGTGCTTCATCTATACAAACGTCGTGGAAGTGTTCTGCATAGCTTGGAGTAGCATTAACTGGCTGCGAATTCTGATTCAGGTGGAAGCTTGGCTACTTTGGGCAAATCATTCCCTATAGCTGTAGTCTCCTTATCTGCAAAATGGATAAAACAATACTCACTCTGCTTAATTTGTAGGTTTGTTATTAGGGTTGAATAAGATGCTTCCTCAACTTTCTCACTTCATAGTAAAGGATCCTTTTTGCTTAGCATGCTGGGGTAAATACAAAGGTTGCTGAGGTTCAAAGTGACCACTCCTGGACATGACCACTCCCTGCCTCTCTCTCCCAGGGGCTGAGGTGTTAGTATCTTTGCACACCTCTACACCTGTTGGGACACTCTGTTATATGAAGAGAGAAGACAAACATTAGCTGTTGTGTATGCTCGTGTTCCTTTATATTCTCCTGCCATATAAATATAACCTTGCAGTAGAGTGTTGAAGAATCATGTTCAGACATGTAAAGTGCTGGAACCTAGGCCTATGGCCGTAAGTGGCAGAACATGAATACGATTCCAGTCTCTCGACACTTTACATGTAGTCACCTCACCTGTTCACTGTGCTTTCAATCACACCTCTCCTCCATAATTAGTTATTGTGAAAAGAAACCTCCTTACTACTCACCAAGATGACAATTCAGATAAAGGAAGCCTTTTGTTGCCTTCAATTTACAGCCAGATCATTCAGTGTAGAAAAGAGGCTGGTGAAAAATGAACTTACAATTTTATGGTTGTCTATTTCTATGTCCATATTTGTATCCACACTACCTGTCTTATATTTTGGAAGTAAAAACCAGACAACCTAGCCGTGGAACTTCCTCATCTGTTGACAGGATTACAATAGTAACCAGGCTAAGAGTTATAAAGCTGTGGTGGTCTCTGGAAGTTTAGTGCTATGTGGGTATTAACTTTTGTTATTATTCAACAAAACAAACCATATCAACCAGTTGCAGAGAGATAAAAGGCTAAGAAATAGGGCTGGGAATTTAGCTCAGTGGTTTCACCGCCTGCTGTGCAAGTGCAAGGACCTGAGTTTGATCCCTGGTATCAAAAAAAAAAGGGCTAAAAAATAATAACTTTGCCCTGGAGAATTATTATTTTTTATTTTTTCCAGTACTAGGAATTGAACTCAGGACCTCACACTTGTGAGGCAGGTGTGGTGCCACTGAGCTAAATCCCTGGCCCTCTGGAGAATTCTTTTATAGCTAAAGAAATATCATTAGAACCTGTATTGAAAGTACAGCCACATAAGCAGTATCTAGGAGTGTTAGGAAATGCAGAGCCTTGAACCTACTACAGGAAAATCTGCCTTTTAAGGAGCTCTCTAAGTAATCTGTAAGTGTGGTGCTCTGAGGTGTGTGCAGAAACTCCAAGGTCCCCTGTACTTTTTGATTGGGATGACCCAAAAGCGGGACTGGCTCAGAGAATCTGCTCTGTCTGATTGACAGTTATTCAGCTCCAGTCTGGAGCACAGACATAAGGCTGTAAGGTAGGGCTAAGAACCACACACGCTTGTCTTGTAAGAAGGTTGTTCAATGGGAATCAGATGAAATGCACACACCAGATGACCTTATGGCACATGGCCTGGCACATTTGCAGGAAGGAACAAGCCTGAATACCGCACTTTAAAAAAGGAGGTGCTATCATGAGCAAAGCTGCAAACCCTTTTCAAAAGGAATGTTAGGCATGCATCCGGGAAGAGAGGAAGTCACTTACATTGACCCAGGGATGCTCAAGGACCTGCACAGCTGAAAATCGCTGATCCACATTGACCAACAGCATCATGGTAATGAGCTCCTGAGAAGGGCAACATGAGACTACATTTATCTGACTTCAAAGTGAAAAACATGCAGGCATGGTGTTAATTTAGAAAGGCATTTTAAAACTCTAAATCTTGACTATATCAACTCCACTTACCTGTGACTACCTGAATAACATCTTTGAAAAAGAAAGGAATGAGGAACCATTGGAATTATAAATATGTACAGCTTGTAGTTGATAAAAAATCATATTTAAATAAATTCTATAAAAAGGTTTTAGTAGAAAAGAAAAAACTTATACACATCAAAGAATTAGTAGCCCTTAATTTGACTAGGGTTTTACAAGTTAAAGCCAGGTTTTTAAAGTAATTTTATATGTCAGATTTTAAAAAAACTAATTAAAGTTTCACTTTGATAGTTGAAAGGAAAAATAGACTTTTTTCACTAATTTCCAGACAGCATCTTTAGGTTTGAAAGAAAGGAATGATAAATGATGCAGAATTGCCAACAACTAGTTGTTAAATAGAACTTTTTGTGGGGAGCTGTTGGGAATTGAACCCAAGGGCTTTTGTATGCTAAGCACATGCTGTACCACTGAGCTACATCCCCAGCCCAATAGAACTATTCTTCAGTAGCTAAACAATCCTAAGGAAATGTGTTATAGGCACTTCAAAACTTTCCAGATTCATTAATACCAAGAAAACAGAAGTATTAAAGGGTAAATTATTTGATGGTTTTGAAATACATGAAATTTCCCATGACCTCAAAGTGGTGTGGACTGGGAAGACACAGCTTAGGTCTTCGTATGAGTTCGTTGTATGCTTGTGCCTTTGAATTAGGAGTCTTCATGTATATAAAAAAATGGCTAGATATGTGTTATCCAGTTCCTGACATTCACAGGCTCTGGGTACCACAGAGAGTCTACTTTAGCTTTCTTCATTCATTTTCTAACTTGGACCAAGACTTATTAAAGTAACAATTATGTGGTACCCTTTGCCAGGTGCTGCTGTGGGGATAAAGGAGATGATCCTATCTGTCAGTGAGTGTGAACTCTCAGGTTACAGGGTGAGAGAATTCAGAGTTGGGTATTTTCTTGTACCTGCTTACAAGTGAAAATGCTGCCCCATCCTGGCTCACTCAGCCATATCCAAGCTCCTTTCACGTTGGACCTTTCCTCTGAAACTTCACTCAATTCTCTACATTGTACTAAGTCCAGATGTGGGCTGCTGGGCAGTGGAAGAAAATAAGAGACTTGTGCTCAATATCCATCATTTTCTATGCAAAATGATTGGATCTAAGGGGTAGGGTTTTAAATTGAACTTATACCCAAGACAGCAAGAGGAATGTCATACACATTGAGTGAAAAAAAGATCATTATTTTCCAACAACAAATTTCCAAAAATTTAAGTCAGTTCTTGGAGACATGATACAAGTCCATATGGAACACGAAGGCCCTGGAAACCTACCTTTGCAGAATCAGAAACATTGTCCCAGTACGGAGAAGGAAAGTCCACTTGCCCCATCAAGATCTGATCAAAAAGCACCTCCTGGTCATCACCACTTCTGTGTAGATGAATCACAACAAGGAAAAACAGCACTGAAATGTCAGCTTAGGACATGACTTGTCATTCTTAAGCATCAGAGCCCTTCCTTTTTCTGTAAATGTGTAAAATGTGTGTCTTTAAAGTAATTGAATGTATTGGTATGCAACTGTTTTGGTCAGTTAAGAAAGAATGACTTTTAAAATTGTATCAGGAAGATTTATGGAAGGCATATAAATTAGCATGTGCGACATGGAAAAAAGAACAGGTATTGCACGTGAAATTCTTATTGGTTTTTTTTTTCCTGCCATGGCCATCTTTATGTTAGAAGAGCAAATAGATCATTCAGAAAATGGTGAAATGTTTTGTTGGTGCTGAATAAAAGATTGCTGCCCGTACCCACGAAACGGAGGGAAACCACACAGAAGGATGTAAGTGATTACACCAGCTGCCCAGATGTCCACCTTGAGGCCATATCTGAAAAAATAAGTGATGTTAGAGTTAGCAAAGTCAGGCCAGGACAAATTACAGGGCATGCTAAAATAGATGACTCTTCTATTCTAAATCCAACATGAAACTGAACAAAATAAAAAAACCTAACAGCAATCATTAAGGCTAACAACAATCAGTAGCTGAAACCCAACCCAACTAGCTAAACAAACAGAGTTCAAGGTAATAATAAAAAAATAGTGATTTTTAAAAAGACTGTATAAGCCACATGAATAAAAATCAAAGTAATGGGTGCCTGGGCTCATATCCAAGTATCAGTAATTGAGAAGTTTCAGCAAAAAGGATTATTATAGTCATATCAATTTTGAGATAGGAAGGGACATTTGAGGCTAATTTTAGAAAGAATAATTATTTAAAGAACATTTCCTGGTTTACAAGCACTGCTTTTATCTTATTTTGTTTTCCCAATAATTTTGTAGGTTGGACAGGACAAATATTGCTTATTTTATAGAAAAGAAAACTGAGGTTCAGAGGGTAATTTTGCTCAAAATAGTACAGTTGGTCAGTGGCAGATCTGGGCTCCAACTGAGGTCTTCAGGAGCCTAAATCCTCTTCCCACCCACCCCACCTCATCCCGGAAGCTGTCAGAGTCTGTTCTTATGGGAAATGAAAATGTGGCTATACCCCAGCGGAAGCGCTATCTGAAGGCAGTCAGACAAGGTACTAATGTAGGGTCCCAAATCGCTAAATTCAATGAATAAAAAAGTCCTCATTCTCTCATATGTCTTCCTAGGAATTTCCCTGCCAGGGTCCTTTCTGCTCTTTGTAATCACTGGGTCTATGGTACAAGCAGAAAACCTTTTTCTAGATGGTCACAATGGAAGATGCCACCTGGATCTCCAGGTGTGGATTAAAATTGCTCATGAGAAGTTAGGGCTGGCTCTCCTTTCCACCCCACCCTCTCCATACCTTCTGTTGGACTTTAGCACCTCAGAGCTCTGAATATAGCTCTGGAAAAAATAGAATTTTACTGAAAAATCCTTTGTCTCAGCCTGACCTGCGTTCAAATATTGACTCAGCCACTAACTGGTCATGAGCTTACAGGGTACTTAACTCATCAGTTGCAGAGTCTCATTGTACCCATGTGCACAGTGTGAATAAGGTTGTTTATTGGAAGACCAAGAATTAAGTAAATGAGCTTAAAACCTGTCATATAGTAGGTCCTTAGTAAGTAATAGGTGCTCTCATTTCCTCTTTCCTCATTCCAGGATAGATACTTTCATTGATCTAAATCTGCACATAGAAACCAGCAAATTCCCAGTGGCCCTCTGATTCCTAAGAGTGTCTGTATTCCACAAGAAACTAATGGACCTCCAAGAGGATCAAAAGGGGACTAGAACTGGATAAGGGCAGCTGAGAGACATAACCACCAGAGTCTGTAATCACTGCACGCAGCAGTTTGTTTCTTTTATCTTCCAAAGTGAGTTAATCACCATTCCTGTATGTTTCTCAGTTAATCCGAACACTTTTTACTCTGAGGTTAATAACTTCTGTTCTGCCTTTTACAGGCCAAATGAAAGCCTTAAACAAGAAAACAGTCACCAGCAACTTAATTGGGAGAGCAGAGAAAATGGCCCCCACTGTTAAAGCTTGTTTTTAAGGAAAGTCTGAAAGAAATCTGATAGCTAAGTCTGTCTGCATAGAACAGCACAATACTATGCTTACTACTCTTGAAGCAGCCCAGCTCTTTTATAACCAAAGCACCAAACACGGGAAGCATTTACCCAGTTTCTGCAATGATTTCTGGAGCCACATATGTTGGAGTGCCACACACTGTGTACAGGGGCCCATCAACAATGGTGGCCAGTCCAAAGTCACCGAGCTTCAGGGATTTGCTGCCGTCTTGGTGCTCATATACCTAAAAGAAAGGTGAAAATCACCATCACCTTAAAACCAACAGCTCAAAAGCTTTTCCTTGAAGAAATGAGGGACACATGTTTAAATTTAATGCATATAAATTAAAAATAATCTAGCAATACTGCAAGGATAGTCATCCAAGAATATTTTTTTTCGATTACCCCAAAATTGGAAATATGAACAATTAGCAAATGGAAATTTATTAAGTAAATTATGGTACCTTTACAATGAGAAGTTCTTGACAATGAAAATGGTGATGTGGGATTATATTTATTGATATAATTTTGTTTGGCAAACGACCATAGTAGATTATAAAATGTCAATTAAAGAAAAAAAATAATGTGCTGAAGTCTGAAAGAACACAGTATTATTGTCTCTGTTGCCAAGTGGTAGGATTATGGAGATATTTTCCCTCTTTTTCTTATCTGTATTTGATGTTTTCTGCAATTAAAATTGATGTACATAATAAAATGAAACACAGAAAGTATCTTTTGGAGCATCCCCAATTTATGAAAATGACTTCTTCCTTCCAACATATGAATAGTTCATCAGTGAGTGAACAAAAAAAATCTATCCACATGCTGAAAAACTTCGTTTTCAGTGCTCCACATTTCCAACAAGATCTATATACATTTTTTATTAATAATTGAAAGGGATATTAACATTTCATTTCACCTGTACCAATTTGGAGAGATGTATCATGTGCAGAGTCAGCATTCTGTCCAGGTTACCTTATTAAGGCAGTAAAAATTTCCAGTCTTTCACTCAACAAATGAAAAAAGATGCCTGTCACTCCAGGCAAGTATTCATACTGCTTTGATTCTAGCCCATGATCAAATCAAATGGAGATACTCTAAACACTACCCCAAACAACTTCACTGATTTCAAAGGCAAGATCAAAGGTCCTTCACAATTCTTTTTCAGTGCCCTCTATTGAAATACACAAGCTAAAGAAAAGAAAACTGCAATAAATTTCTAGTACTTCTAGCAAGGGCAATTTTTAGGAGATGTCTTAAGGAAATGCTAAAGTTTCCCTATACATCAAAAAAAAATTCATCCAGCAAGTTGAGACTTGATGTTCTTCTGTCATCACTCTACGATCATCTGTTATTTGCTGAAGCAGTCTGAACTTTTTGCACAGCAAGACACATCTCCACACATTAGGAGTACTGCTACCATTTATACCCCATGCCTGCCTTCCTTGGCAAAAGTCAATTAACTCTGCATTCTGTTGCAGCACAAAGTGCAGATGTTTGACCAGCTATGCTGCAGCATCAGCAATGACCATTTGGATCCAACTGTTTCGGCAGAGGCAGGCAATCAGATCCTCCTCTCTGGAGAGACTATGTTTTTCTGGATTATTCCTTTACATCTTGTCCACAGTCAGAATATGAAGTCTTTTCTCCTGAGGATCTGCATCATAACCAAGACTGGGCTGCCTTGGGACAGGCATCCAAAGACTTGTGGGGTCACCTGCACTTGGGTGGTTAGGGCAAAGGCAGCCATGTGACAGTAATAATCTGAGATGGATACTGTTCTCCTACTTAATGAAGCAACAGTGCAATCCTGGCCACCATAAAATGGTTTGAGGTAGGTCTTTGAGGTCTCAGAGCCTAAATGTTCTTAAGCCTGAGAAATATCTAAATTGTAGCCCTATCATGCCAGCCACTCTGGTTATCTAAACAATAAGCAAATGTTTTCATGAGAAGAAATATGAGATGCAAACATCTACTAGATTGTCTAGTTTATTTCTTAGAGTAAACTTGTTTACTTCCTTAATTCCATTTTGTTTACCAATAACCTCTGTTTTCTTCCTTTTTTCCTTTCTTTCTTGCTTTCTCTCTCTTGCTCTTTCTTTTTTCTTTCTTTCTTTATGAGACACCATCTTATTGTGTATTTCAGGCTCACTGTGGAACCCAGACTGGGCTCAAACTTACAGCAATCCTCCTTCCTCAGCCTCCCGAGTGCTGGGATTACAGGCATGCACCAGTTGGCTATCAATAACCTGTCTAAAATGCAAAATAGCCTCTTGCTTTCATGTTCTACTTGGTTCAAACATTCATGATATGTGCTTTGTGAGGTTGTGCAGATTTTGACCTATTTAACACTATTTATGCATACGTTTTTAAGCTTTTTTTCTAAATACAGTTTCTATATCACCTAACTTTTTAAAAAAGCTTGACAAAACCAGATGTTGGAGGATCTAGTCATTAAATCCCATTATAGTTCTGAATATGACCAGTAAGTCTCTTACATGTAGCAAGTGTTTGGCTTTTGAGCACCTGTAGTTTAATAGGAATTCTATCTAACATATAGCCACATACTAATTATATTTAAGATAGATGAGCAATTTTCAAAGTTGCAATAACTAAGAAAAATTCAAGGTCCTGCATTCAATCTTCAGCATCACCAAACAAAAGAAAAAGAAAACCCTAGAAAATCTACCTAAAATAAAGAAAATGAGGATTATCTGAAATAACAATGCTTCTAAAAAAGATAAAAACCATTTAAATAAAATACATTGAATCTATAGTTTTAATATTTCTTTTTAAAATCTCTCTTTTAGTCCTGTATACAATCTTCCCTTTTTGTTTTGAAAATGGCAGAGTAGAATTTTCATGAATATAAAGAGGTTCAAGTGATATTTAGGAGAGACAAAGAGAGCTTAGAGGCAAAGGCCTATTACTTGTAATTGAAAACATTTCAAGACACAAGTACATTAGAAATGCTTCAACAAAATGTTTTTGCAGGTGAGTAAATGTCCAGGCCTCAAGTTTGGAATTGTTTAACATACTGTCAGGCAGAGCAGGAAACAAGGTTACTTTGGGGTTTTTTTCTGTCAACACTTTGGGAGAAGGATGGAGAAGAATATAGTTCAGTGTTTCTTCTCCTCCAGTAGGAGAGAGGCCCTTTCCTAAGTGGCATAATGGGTCCTCTTACAACTAGGGCTCGCTCACCACTAGTAGCTACCACCCTAGCTACACTCACCCTTATCTCTTGCAGAGCCAGGCACAGGTGGGCATGAATGAGACCATTTGCGAATGTAATCAAAACTTTGTTAAAAGTCACAGATTTCTCAGTACATCTGTTTCAGGCACACACACACACACACACACACACACACACACCCCACCCCACAGGTAAACACTGTCACAAAACCATCTCAACATTTCCCCCAAATTGGCAGCTATAAATTCACTTTGAACTAAGTTTTTAATTAAAAGTTAGAAATCAGAAAGGCTTCTCACAAGTTCCCCTTTAAAGTGCTGAATCCCTGGTTTCTACTCTTGGAATCCATTCTGACTCTGTTCCTCAGCATTTCTCGTCAACCCAACAATCTTTCAGAAAGGACATTAGCAGGCTGCAAGCAGAGACCTGGACAGCCCGATCCAGTGTGTGGGGCTCTAATGTAAGAAGAACTTTTTGCTATAACTGTATTTTAAAGCCTCTATAAAACATGACCCACACGTGAAGTAGGAGTACATTAATTGTCAGTCAAGGATTGTTCACAACATGAGATATAATTTAATGCTCATCCTAGGTCTTTTAAATGCTATCGATGTTCCCTCACACTCTAAACACCGAGGGGCTATTAAAGAGATGGGAATTAGTGCAAATTACTCAGTATGTAGTGCTTTCACTGTTTTAACTAAGCAATAAAACTATGTAATTGTACAACACTAATTGAATGCAGCTACACATAATTGTGGGTTGCCATATGTATCCTATTACCATAAAGACTGTCAGTATTTTGTAAGCTACTCTTGTGATCATTGCAGATGGTTACAGTCAGAGAAGTTGTTCTCTAGGGTTTATTATATGGCTATAAAGACATCCCATGATTTGACAGACTAAATGTGTTAAATGGCAACAATAATGACAAAAGTTCCAATTAAAAGCTGAAGGTATGTTATACCAAGAGGAGATAGAGTGAAAGGTGAAGTATGTAGAGTTTTGGGCACACTGGTTTTTAAAAAGGGTTTTATTTTTGTATCTTATTTATTTGGGGCTTTGGACTAGCTGTAACTTACTGAACAGTAGATGTTCGGGCAAATGCCTGACATCCTTTGGATGGGAAATTGAGACCATTTGAAAAAGTTATTTGAAAAAATAAAACATTGAATATATAGTCATAAAATGCAGCCGTTGGCCATAAAGTAATATGAAAATTCACAGGTAACCTGAAACCAGTCAAATGGTTTCTGAGATTCCCATAATTGAGAACTAAAACCTGACAAAATAACAGATGTGTTGGACCAAACGTAATTCTCTATGTTGCTACAAATTCAAGGATGGCCTTGTTGAAAAGTTGGCTAATGAATCATTAGTAACCACTGAAATGGTTTTCACAGAGAAGTCAATAGGTACTAAAAAATACTTTACCAAATAAAATTCAATAAAAGTGGTGTGAAATTGACAAAGGCATGAAAAAAGGTCAATTTACTTTTTAACATTTATGGTATTCCTTTAAAAAGACATTGATTTTCCTCCAGCCATAGGATATGGTTGTTATGATGCTTTCTAAGGCAAATTAATTAAATCTAAATCTTTAATCTTTAAGAAATGAAATATAACAACATTTAAGCAGGGAGTTATTTTACAAGATAACTTTATATTTTTAAATTAGACTTCTTGGAAAAAAATAAACTCTAATAAAAACACTTTATATACATATGTCAAATACTTATAATATCAAGAGTTAAGTAAAATAATGAAAACAGTGAAACTTGCATAGAAGCTAGAAAGGAGTAAGCCGAAAGAATGGTAATAATATTAAAGGAAGAAATAAAATCACTTCTCCAAGTATTACACTGGAGATATCTGAGAGGATGGAGAAGTAAACGGAAACTCCAGGAAACTCGATTCTCATCCTCAAATTAAAATAGTCATGAAAGTATCTAAAAAGGAGTTCCATGCAGCTGCAGTAAGACACACGAAACAGACATTCTGGATCTTGTTAGGAGTTGTAATCTAGGATTTTGCCAGAACTGTGGGAACTCA